TTTGTAATTGAGCGAGTCTTGTTTGGTTAACATTTTGGATTGTTAATACTTTTAAATAATAAAAAAAAACAACTTATGCTACATAAAACATCAACATCTAATTCTCATAAAACATGCCTTAAAAGGATATTCATCAGCATAGACCAATAAATTTTTCTTGACTTGCTCTTCAACAACCTATTGCAGTAACTATCTCCTCTTATGTTTCTTTTCAACAGCTGTAGCAATGATTCTTTGTTCTTGGGTTGTTCTTTGATAGCTTGTTCTGGCTGCAAGTTAATACAAAATTTATTTAGAGTAAAACTCACAATAGTTGGATATTTTATAGTGAAGTACATATTACCTACTTTCCTTCTTCCATCATCTTTTTGTTTTAGTTTCTGTCACACTAATTAAGCAATTAAAAGAAAAAAATGAACATAATTGGAGGATTTTAAGTAAAGTATTATCATATGTAGATCACACCTTATTAATATTTTGCTCATTAGTCACAACTTCTTTATCTCCTAATTTTCTAAATCTTTTTCTTTTATGTAATGAATTCTCAGTGAGTGGAGTCATCACGAAAAATTTCTTCATGTCTTGTCTTTGCTTTACAACACTTGCAATTATTTTATGTTCCCCTTCCTTTATTCTAGCCTCCTCCTCCAATTGAGGTTAAGGTAGCTTAGGGGGTATGATTTCTCTCTCATTCTTTTCGACCAATTAATGTTGAGTTTGCTCAGGTGGGGGAATGATTTCTCCCTTATTTTCTTCTCCTCCAATTGATATTGGGGGAATGATTTCTTCCTTATTCTTCTCCTTCAATTTTTGTTGAGTTAGCTCAAGAGGGGTAGTGATTTATCCCTTATTCTTCTCCTCTAATTGATGTTGAGTTGGCTCAAGTGGGGGAATGATTTCTCCCTTATCCTTCTCCTCCAATTGAAATTGACTTAGCTCAGGCGGGGAAATGATTATTCCCTTATTCTCTTCCTCCTGAAAAGAGTGTGATGTCTTTGCTCCCTTATTCACTTCCTCTTTCCCAATCTTAGTTTAAGAGTAAAGAACAATGATTTCTATGCTTAATTCCTCATTCATTAGATTTAAATCGGCAGGAGGTGTGTCTACTGTTGTATTTACATCTTGGGGACAATGGGTTATGTTGTGCTCTCCAGTCATTTGGTCTTAATAGACCTTATTCGTGCCACTACCAAACTTACTCTTATGCTCTCACTGCTCAAAGCAATCTCTATATGTCTGAGATTATTATTTGTTGAGGCTTCAAAAGCTATAAACTATTTCTCAATAGATATAATTAACTTAAAATTTTCAATGTTTGAAGGAATATGTACATGGCTATGAGTTCCTTCATCTGTATATATCTGCATGCATTTCTAGAAAAAATTGTTGACTCTTCCACGGTAATATTCCTAAAATAATCGTCAACTTGTAATATATATATATATATATATATACATATTTTTATTATATATCCATTTTTATAAAAATGAAAATAACGTACTTTTATTACATTGGTTTTTATTTGATCATCTGGCAGCTCTAATAAAAGTCCTTCAGATCTTATTTCTCCTTACCATTAACTTCGAACATCGCATTATACGGCGTATTCCCCGTGGCATCGTAGAGAAAAGAATATTGGTATGCTCAAATAATCATACCTGCAATACAATGGAATACAATATGTTAGCATGTAAGTAATAAGGATCATGCCGACAAACATGATATAATAAAAATCATACCAACAAAAGATTGACATAGCCACTTATGTAGCCAAATGGCTTCTGGAGTCTTGACATCTCAACTAAGTTGTCAAATTGGTATACCAAAAACCTCCATATGGCCTCTGACTAGTTATAATGTGCAAATTCATGTATATTTATATATATATATTATATATATATATAAGAAGATCCCTAGGTACCTTATAGTTATTGTATGGAAAAGATAGATTCGTAAACAAAAATTTAATAAAAATATTAATAAATTTAGAACTACTTTTATCAAGATTATTTTTATTTTTTAAATCTATGGCTGTGAATTTAGGCAGAGGCTCCCTCATCCAAGTAGCTTTGGTTACTTTGTTCGGCAAGCCAATCATAAGAGTCATTTCACCTTTAGTGAGTTTCAGCTCATGGCCATCAACAATGAAGGTGTGCCTCTCAACATTACAACACCAAAAAATGTGCACAATAAGCGATACATCTTGGTAGATCGGTGGAACTTTCAAAAAGTGATGAATACATAGATTCCTTAATATATCAGCAACAGCCTATGTGTTATCCTGTGAAAATTCATCACATCTCGCTCAAATGTTGAGGGTTGGTTTTTGAACATAATTCTCCTATGGGTTATCCTGTGAAAATTCATCACATACTGCTCAAATGTTGAGGGTTGGTTTTTGAACATAATTCATCTGTTAGTCATTTTATTGAAAGTTTTCAAATACATTGTTGAAACAAAAAAGAAAAAAAAACAAAAAACTATTAAGAATGTAAATGTAAAACACCATAGTCATTGTGTGTTTACTTCGGTACAACCGTGTTGTATCGGTTGTACGGTTATACTGAGTTATCTTAGTACAACCAATGCAACTTGGTTGTACAAGGAAAATAATCAGACAATTGTAGGTACGAGGAAAAACAAAAATTAAAAATTCATTACTTCTATATATCATTTTCTTATCTTTCTTCAGATTTTAAATAAAATTCAACTTTGTTGTCGTACTTCAGTACAATGATGTTGCATCGATTGTACTCAGTTCCCTCAGTACAATTAATATAACATGGTTGTATAAGGAAAATAATACATTGTAGGGAAATTCATTCTAAATATATACCATTTTTTATTTAAAAATCTAATGTATTTATATAATTTTTTTTATTTTTATTCAGATTTTAAATAGAACTCAATTTCTAACTTCAATACAACAATGTTGCATTGGTTTTATTGAGTTATCTCAATACAATAAATATAACATGATTGTATAAGGGAAATAATTAGACAATCATAGAAACAAATAAACTTTAAAAATTTGTTCTATCTATATATCATTTTTTATTTAAAAATTCATTCTATTTATATACATTTTTTTTAATTTTATTAAAATTTTAAATAAAAATCAATATTCATGTCTTACTTCAGTACAACGGTGTTTTATCAGTTATACTCAGTTACGTCAATACAACCTCGATTGTTTTGAGTTACCTCAGTACAACCAATACAATTTTATTGTACAAAGGGAAAATAAGCAGACAATCGTAGGTACGAGGAATAGTAAAAATTTAAAATTCATTATATCAATATATCTATTTTTTATTTTTATTCATATTTTAAATAAAACTCAACCTTGTTGTCTTATACTTTAGTACAACCATCTTGTATCAATTGTACTGAGTTTTCGCATTACAACCAATATAACATGGTTGTATAATAGACAACTTTATCATTTTTTTATTCATATTTTTAACAACTCAACATTACTACATCCCTTTAGTGCAACGTGTTATATCAATTATACTGAGAAAAATCAGTACAACCAACATAATATGATTGTATTTTAGGAGCATGCAGCAAAAAAATAAAAATGAAAAATAAATCTTCAATTAGGAAATAAAAAAAACCATTAAAAAAAAAATACAACGATTTTCTCACATTTGCAAGCATATCATTGGATTTACTTGCCAAAAAAATAACTATTGGATCACACGCAGGTGTCTTATGTTGTATTTTGATTTCTACGAGATTCTTAGTCTTCTCTTCATCGTAAAGCTGGGAGACAAACAAACATATGATACCCTAGAATGAGGAAATATCACAAGAAAAAAAACAGCAAAAGAGACAAAATGTTGAAGTCTAACCTTGGTACAACAAAGGAATCTAAGGGGGCATAAAATACAGAACGATAAACTGTAGAGCAAACCCTAGAGAGCTTGACATTGATCTCTGAATATGAAACGTCGAGTAAGCCTCAAACGCCAAAAGCCTCGATCATTGTATTTGTTGTATTTGCCTTTTTTCTGGATGAGTCGGGTCGAGGTCGGGCCGCACATTACATGCATTATTTTCTCTCATTTTATATATTAAAATATATTCCATAGAAATAATGATAAAAAATTAATAAAACACGTAGCATTTTTGGATTGGCTTCCACACTTAGAGCTACTTGTGTTAACTGAATAGAATAATTTTTCGAAGAGTAGAGAGCCATGGGTTAGGCATTAGGGATCCGTGCCCACACTGACTTCTGACTTGCCCAATGAATATAAATATTTTTCTTTCTTATAAAATCTTAATAAGAGAATCATCTGTATGAATCTTGTGTCATAACTAAAAATAAATTATAAAATGATATATTGTTGAGTTTTTTTAAGAAACTGACAATTGTTTACTCCAGAAGCGTTATGTGAATCACACCCAAGATATAGAGCATATGATAGACGAGACAAACAGAGAGAGAGAGAGAGAAGTTTTAATATCACATAAAAAAAATTATTTTAAAATTTATGCATAAAATGTATGTTTCACTTTTAAGAATTTATTAATAATGATATTTTAGATGTAATGTTGAAAATTTGAGCGGGATGGATGTAAATATCAAAATTTAGCTGTTAGACATGTAAATATAAAAAATTTGAAAGGTATGTGCGTTAATCTAATTTTGGCTTCTAAAAAATGCAATTTTATTTCTTTCTTTCTAAGTAATTGGTTAATATGATCATCAACTTCAAATTTTGGCTTCAGCCTTTTACTCTCTCCTTTTCTATCTAAATTTTTTCTTAGCAACTTTGAATTGCCCCTGATTCTCTTATAATTGGTTTTTACAATGTTCAGCTCTACAATTGTAGTTCTTTAAGGCTTTTTCATTATATATTCTCCAACTCTTCTAGTGATTAATAATCACTGGGTCATGACTTGAATGTTCAATATACTTGTTCATATCAAATGGAAGGATACATCAATCATTCAGTCTAAAAAAAGAAAAGAAAGATCATCTTCAACAATTTGAGAATCATCCTCAAACAATTTTACCACTAAAGTCTCAAAATGAATCCTATAAAATGCACTTTAACAAGTGATTTTATAGTTTATAGTATATATACTTTTGTTGTTGATGGAATAATTAACATTATTTCATTCTTTGGAGAAAACTTGAATATGATATCCATCTGGAAATCTTAATCCTGGAGACCTAGTAGTATTTCCTCCTTTAATAGAGTTCCACCTGCATATATTACATTCATAACTTAGTTAATTAATATGTTATTTAATATAATAAGAATAATTAGCTTTAAGTAATCATCATTATGAAATAAATAATGACCTGTATTTTGTAACCAAATAATGGAGGAAAATAGCCATTTCCAATTTGGTAAATTGTGCCCCCACACATAGCCTCATCCCTAAACCAAAGGGCATGAAATTCCTAGTCCCAACAGACTTCTCAGGGGTATCCTGCAAAATAAAGAAAAAATAATGTAAATTAAATTTATAAATTCAATGAAATTATTACAACTTTGGGTTGAGATGCATCTAAAGAGCTTTACATAAATAAATATGAAAAGGGATGGAATTCATTTTACTCGAAGGAGGAGATCATTAACCTTTATTTTGCCATTGGAAATCTTCCATCCTCTTTTTCATCATTAAATTTAATAATATATAAAATTTCAGATAAAATTAGGATTATTTTATCATTGTAGGTCAGAAATGTATCAGCATGGATCTCGAGGAAATCAAGAGAACTAAGAGACAGGAAAGTACGACCAAGAGGGCCACGGACGGAAGACCAAGAGTCATTCACCAAAAGATCAGAGGATTTAATTGACCAAGTACAAATCCCTTAAATCGAGTTTCAAAGCAGACCAAACGTAGGACATCTGAGCCAAGATCCATCAAGCCTAGAGAAGACATCAACCCAACTCTCGCCACAGCATAGTCAACCACCTCATAAGAGCCTTTGAGACAATTCATCAGGAAGCTGAGGGTTTTGCCCCGATATACTCCACGAACACCCCGAAGGACCTTTCGTTAAGTGGTGAGATACTTGTTCGATTGTGGCAATTTACGCTCTTACAGACAACCTAGTCTCATTATAGGGATAGAAGTTTCTCATCTACGGGTCGATAGTCAACAGTATAACCAAAGTAGTTGACCAATAGACCAATATGATCGAACTGAGTCTAGACGACCAAAGATAATCAAGAGTCAACATGCAACTCCAACTCAATATATTCAAACTAACGAGTCTTACCAAACCAAGGTTTGTTAATCCCAACAAACTGAGTAATGGATAGCTGAACCATGGACTCATTTATGTAAACTCCCAAAATACTCTATAACACCCCCAATAAAGCAGGTGCAAGCATGTGATTGTACACTTTGTACCTCCTCTTCTATAAATAGGAGGATCATTTCTTCAATAAGAGCTGATCAAAAAATCTATTCAACTATTCATTACTGTTCATCCTCTCTCTTTCTTTATTTCTCTCTCTATCTCCTTTTTTACACTATATTCCTTGTCTGACTTTTGGTCATATTTGGATTCAACAATTATTAATGAAATATATCAATACTTCACTAAACTTTCAATTAATAAACTTTTAATTGTTCAAATATGGAGATAAAATAAAATTCTTACGTGGAATTATATTATCTCCTAATCAATGTCCAAAAATTGTCTTAGTTTAATTTTTTTCTCAATTTAATTTTTTAAAGTTATTATAAATATGATTATTGAATTAAAAAATATATATTAAATAGTAGATGCTAAAATATATTTCAGATAGTGTTTATTTTCCTCATAAAAAAAAAATAAAAATAATTTCATTAATTTTCTAACCTTCCACCTCCATGGATTGAATGTGAGTGGGTCCTCATACAAATCAGGGTTGAGATGAACAGCTAACAGACAAATCATAATTCCCCATCCTGCTGGAATTGTATATCCTGAAATCATAAACTCGTATACCTAAATTATCATAATCCATAATATCAAATAAAAAATTTTGTATAAAACTTTAACGAAAAATAAAAATAATTTTCTATTTAAATTGTACCATTTATATGAATGTCCTTCAAAGCTTTTCTAAAAATTACAGGGGCTATATTTGCCAATCTCAATGTTTCATTAATAACCTGCAAAATTATGAAAGCACTGTAAGCACATTCTTGTAAATTTGTAATTGAGATTGCTCAATTTGGCTTACATGATAAGTGAATTTCATAGATTTATACTCCTCCCATGTAATTCCAGAATTTGGATCCTTCCTGCTCCTAATAATTGCATCATGTTCTTCCTGTAACATTCAATCTTATTCACTGCAAAATCTTTGCTGCATTGTTATGTATCAACCACCCAAAACATTGAATATAACATAATATGTTCAAATGTTATTTGTAAAGTTTGATGGGTTAAAATGTTATATTCAATTTTTTGGATGATTGGAATGTAAAAACAACATAAGCAGGATTTATACATTTCAATCATTATAAATTAGAAGAAAAGAAAAGCCGACCGTTAGTTCTTCCAAGATTTTCGGATGATCAGCTAGAGTTTTAACGGCAAGGCAAAGTGCTGGAGCTGGAGTCTCACTGCTTGCATAAAGAAGAGCAAACATTAAATTCAGAGCCACGCTTTCTGTCAGCATTGAATTATCATTCCTCAGTTCTTCGATGACAAAATCGAGGTAATCGGTGCATGTTTTTTGAGGCGAATTTTTTCTTTCAGCTGACAACTTCCTCAACAATTTCATCACATTCTTGCGTCCCTATTATATGGTTTGTATAAATTTTCATGATGATAAATGATATATGTTATGGAAGTATGAAGAATTTTGTAGTGGTGATAATGCCTTCAAGCATTTGTGATAAGTAGTTCCTGGAATGTTGAAAGGGAAGGCCAGGAGTCCAGCACTAAAAGCCAAGAAATTTTTCTTCAGATCATCGGTTGTGTTATGAAAAATAATGACGGTAATGAAGCGAAAAATAGATCGAGAAAAATTACTCCAGAAAACGACACAAGATTTACGTGGTTCGGCAAATTGCCTACGTCCACGGAGTTGCAGAGGATTTTATTAGTTGAGGAAATTACACCGTCGAACGCCTCGACGTTTACAAAAAAAAAACTTTATCTTTTCTCCTCTTTCTCTCTCTCTCTCTCCTCTCTTCTCCTCTCTCTCTTCTCTTTTCTCCCAACTCTCTCTCAAGTCACGTGAGAGAAAAAATCAAAGAAATTAATTCCTTCTTAGCAAATTCCAAAAAGCAACAGCAGCCTTTTTTCCCCCTTTTTTCTTTTGCACAGCCGAGAGACTTGGAATTAGGTAGGAGAGAGATGTTTTCCTAGGCTTTGGGTTATCCTATTTATAGCCAGGCAAGTAAGATTTTCTTAAGGCAACCATAATTATATTTAGCAATTCTGCAAAGCGGGAAGCGGGATTCCAAATCAAAGCGACGCGGGAACGCGGAGAGGAAGAGGAACGCGGAGTTTCACGCGGTTTTGTAATTTACACGATTTAATGGGAGATCAGGCATGCAACAAAGATAAAGGAAAGTTATTAAACTTAATTTTTGGTTTAATAGCTTGCCTAAGCTGCAGTGGACGTGACTCCACTTTCTCAACAATTCTCCCACTTTGAGACTGGGACACTGACTACACCATCCATTGGCTGCACTGCCCTTTTTTCCTCAAAAGTGATATCCTCCACCTCTGCAACTCAAAACCCCTGTCTTCAAGCTAGAAGACCAACTGAAGTCGAACACAACTTCAGTTTCTCAAGTGTGACGCCCTTGGTCAACATATCTGCAGGATTCTTGCTTCCACAAATTTTCTCAAGTAGTAAATGTCCGTCATCTAACAATGATCGAATAAAGTGATACCTGATTTGAATGTTCTTGGTCCTGGATTGAAATGCTGGATTTCTAGCTAAGAATATGGCGCTCTGGCTATCACTGTAGAGAGTGCCTTTCTGAACCTCCTTACCCAATTCCGCCAAGAAACGTCATGACTTGAATGTTCGATATACTTGTTCATATCAAATGGAAGGATACATCAATCATTCAGTCTAAAAAAAGAAAAGAAAGATCGTCTTCAACAATTTGAGAATCATCCTCAAACAATTTTACCACTAAAGTCTCAAAATGAATCCTATAAAATGCACTTTAACAAGTGATTTTATAGTTTATAGTATATATACTTTTGTTGTTGATGGAATAATTAACATTATTTCATTCTTTGGAGAAAACTTGAATATGATATCCATCTGGAAATCTTAATCCTGGAGACCTAGTAGTATTTCCTCCTTTAATAGAGTTCCACCTGCATATATTACATTCATAACTTAGTTAATTAATATGTTATTTAATATAATAAGAATAATTAGCTTTAAGTAATCATCATTATGAAATAAATAATGACCTGTATTTTGTAACCAAATAATGGAGGAAAATAGCCATTTCCAATTTGGTAAATTGTGCCCCCACACATAGCCTCATCCCTCCACCAAAGGGCATGAAATTCCTAGTCCCAACAGACTTCTCAGGGGTATCCTGCAAAATAAAGAAAAAATAATGTAAATTAAATTTATAAATTCAATGAAATTATTACAACTTTGGGTTGAGATGCATCTAAAGAGCTTTACATAAATAAATATGAAAAGGGATGGAATTCATTTTACTCGAAGGAGGAGATCATTAACCTTTATTTTGCCATTGGAAATCTTCCATCCTCTTTTTCATCATTAAATTTAATAATATATAAAATTTCAGATAAAATTAGGATTATTTTATCATTGTAGGTCAGAAATGTATCAGCATGGATCTCGAGGAAATCAAGAGAACTAAGAGACAGGAAAGTACGACCAAGAGGGCCACGGACGGAAGACCAAGAGTCATTCACCAAAAGATCAGAGGATTTAATTGACCAAGTACAAATCCCTTAAATCGAGTTTCAAAGCAGACCAAACGTAGGACATCTGAGCCAAGATCCATCAAGCCTAGAGAAGACATCAACCCAACTCTCGCCACAGCATAGTCAACCACCTCATAAGAGCCTTTGAGACAATTCATCAGGAAGCTGAGGGTTTTGCCCCGATATACTCCACGAACACCCCGAAGGACCTTTCGTTAAGTGGTGAGATACTTGTTCGATTGTGGCAATTTACGCTCTTACAGACAACCTAGTCTCATTATAGGGATAGAAGTTTCTCATCTACGGGTCGATAGTCAACAGTATAACCAAAGTAGTTGACCAATAGACCAATATGACCGAACTGAGTCTAGACGACCAAAGATAATCAAGAGTCAACATGCAACTCCAACTCAATATAGTCAAACTAACGAGTCTTACCAAACCAAGGTTTGTTAATCCCAACAAACTGAGTAATGGATAGCTGAACCATGGACTCATTTATGTAAACTCCCAAAATACTCTATAACACCCCCAATAAAGCAGGTGCAAGCATGTGATTGTACACTTTGTACCTCCTCTTCTATAAATAGGAGGATCATTTCTTCAATAAGAGCTGATCAAAAAATCTATTCAACTATTCATTACTGTTCATCCTCTCTCTTTCTTTATTTCTCTCTCTATCTCCTTTTTTACACTATATTCCTTGTCTGACTTTTGGTCATATTTGGATTCAACAATTATTAATGAAATATATCAATACTTCACTAAACTTTCAATTAATAAACTTTTAATTGTTCAAATATGGAGATAAAATAAAATTCTTACGTGGAATTATATTATCTCCTAATCAATGTCCAAAAATTGTCTTAGTTTAATTTTTTTCTCAATTTAATTTTTTAAAGTTATTATAAATATGATTATTGAATTAAAAAATATATATTAAATAGTAGATGCTAAAATATATTTCAGATAGTGTTTATTTTCCTCATAAAAAAAAAATAAAAATAATTTCATTAATTTTCTAACCTTCCACCTCCATGGATTGAATGTGAGTGTGTCCTCATACAAATCAGGGTTGAGATGAGCAGCTAACAGACAAATCATAATTCCCCATCCTGCTGGAATTGTATATCCTGAAATCATAAACTCGTATACCTAAATTATCATAATCCATAATATCAAATAAAAAATTTTGTATAAAACTTTAACGAAAAATAAAAATAATTTTCTATTTAAATTGTACCATTTATATGAATGTCCTTCAAAGCTTTTCTAAAAATTACAGGGGCTATATTTGCCAATCTCAATGTTTCATTAATAACCTGCAAAATTATGAAAGCACTGTAAGCACATTCTTGTAAATTTGTAATTGAGATTGCTCAATTTGGCTTACATGATAAGTGAATTTCATAGATTTATACTCCTCCCATGTAATTCCAGAATTTGGATCCTTCCTGCTCCTAATAATTGCATCATGTTCTTCCTGTAACATTCAATCTTATTCACTGCAAAATCTTTGCTCCATTGTTATGTATCAACCACCCAAAACATTGAATATAACATAATATGTTAAAATTTTATTTGTAAAGTTTGATGGGTTAAAATGTTATATTCAATTTTTTGGATGATTGGAATGTAAAAACAACATAAGCAGGATTTATACATTTCAATCATTATAAATTAGAAGAAAAGAAAAGCCGACCGTTAGTTCTTCCAAGATTTTCGGATGATCAGCTAGAGTTTTAACGGCAAGGCAAAGTGCTGGAGCTGGAGTCTCACTGCTTGCATAAAGAAGAGCAAACATTAAATTCAGAGCCACGCTTTCTGTCAGCATTGAATTATCATTCCTCAGTTCTTCCTAATCGGTGCATGTTTTTCGAGGCGAATTTTTTCTTTCAGCTGACAACTTCCTCAACAATTTCATCACATTCTTGCGTCCCTAAGCGACGCGGGAACGCGGAGAGGAAGAGGAACGCGGAGTTTCACATGGTGATAATGTTTTACATGCCTTCAAGCATTTGTGATAAGTAGTTCCTGGAATGTTAGAGGAGTCCAGCACTAAAAGCAGAGAAATTTTTCTTCTGATCCTCGGTTGTTGTTGAAGAATCATAGCTTATTAATCTCCTAGCAATGATGTTAAAGATCATCTGTAAAAAATCATTTAAGCTAGCATAAGCTGCTGATCATGGTGATGTAAAGTTACACAGAGAAGAAGAAAAAGAAGTTAAAACAAGCTTACTGATCCAAGTTCACTCCTAAGCTCAATGCTCGGTTGAGTCGACCAGAAGGAGAGAAATCTACAGGCTTCCTTCTCCACATCTTTAATCAAAACGTCTCTAAGATTAGGAGATCCCAACAGCTTAAGAAACAAGCTCTTGAGATACTTAAACAAGGGACCGTGCAGCTCACTCGCATTATCCTGCCCAAATATAGTCTTAAATGATTCAGGATACCAACTCTCACACAATGTCCCTTCTTGCTGAACCATCATTTGGTTGAGCTCGGTATCAGCTGAAACCACAAGTGAAATCCCAAACAAACTTGTCTTAAACACTGAACCATATCTGCATCAATTTAAAACAGTCAGAAATTGATAAATGGATAACATAAACAGAGAAATATGCGTTTAACGGACTTCTTCATTCTGTTCTTGATGAAGGGATGTATGTCAAATGAATGACTTTTTGTGAAGAAATCCATGGTTTCGCCTACAAGAGAAAAACCCATGGATCCAGGTGGAAGCTTTTCTTTAAAGTTTGGGTTTATCCATCTATGAATCAAATGGAGTGAACAAATAAAGAGCAAAGTTGCAGAGAAGAAGATGAAGTTGTGGAAATTGTTCGTGGTTAAGAAAGAGAGTAGAGGTTGGTGCAATTCATGATAAGGCTCCATGATTTAGAAAAGGGAGATTGTGAGTGAGTTGTGGAGGAAGAGCATGAGGGTATTTATAGAAAGATGAATATTCATGAATTGTTTTTTTTAATTTATTTTTACCCAATTACGTTTGCTGACAAGTTGCATGAGGTGATGAATGGAATAAAAGTATAGAAGTCTGAGTATTCCATTCAGCACATCTCAAAGTATTGGATAATGAATATGTCTTTGTCCTTGAGTTCCCCTGCTGGCATCTTATTTATAGAATTTTGAACAGTATAGAAAAATATTATATAATAAGAATGTATATTTATAGGCATTCTTGGTTCGTTTCAAACAAGTAAACGTGGTGATAGTGATAGGTGGGATGTATGTGTATCTTATGAATATGAATTCGAATTTGAAATGATGTTGTATAGGAGATGGGAAGTCAATAAATAGTTATTGTGAGAAATATAATTGTTAAATCATTATAGGATGTGTGATCCCGTGTCGTTCGTGAATACATTTAATCCATCAAAAGACTTATTAATGTATAGAAGATGATAGAAAAAGAATGAGATCAAGAGATGGATAAAATACACGTCTTGATTTTCAAAATTGTCCCAAAGCTCCTTCTTTCTTTATAGAATTTTTTCCTCTCCGGCCACTCTCCACCACCAAGAGTAAGAGTGATGGGTCCATTGAGAATCGTCGGGTACAGAAGGAGAGAGAGAGATGGATTTGATCCCTGCCAGCCCCATGAAAAATCCCCTCTCGTCAATCTTCCTCCCCACTTATGAATGACACATCCTTAGATAATTTAAATACGAATGAGATTAACAACCGTCAAAATTGTCGGATTGTCAAGGAAGAGCAGCACAAAGGCCATCTCTAGTGCCACCAAGGGATGAGGTAGTGGAATTTTGGCGTCCACTTTAATGAAGGCCATCAGACATGGTTGGTATTGTCCGCTGGGTTGATGAAAGACCTTCGCCATAATTGTTCGACAACGTCCTCAATGAAGTATTGATAGGTGTTGCTATTAGTCTGGTCAATGTTATTAATGTCGATCCGTGCTGATCACTTTTTCCGATGGATCGAGTGTAACCACTTCTGAAAGTGGGCTTGATTCATTCGATTCATATGGTGACTCTAACTCAACCACTTCGACATGTAGACACGATTCCTTATGGGTCGGCGTTCTCTATATTCCATTAGTTTGGCTACACATTAATCATCAACTTTTGTCTATATAAAGTAAAATTTTCTAAATTTTGAAGTTGTGAATGTAAGTTGACTATGTAATTAATTTTGTGAATAATAGACACAGCCGGTCTTGACGATGGACAATATTAATGGAGGAGATTACAATGAGGCTTTTGCTCTATCGAGCGTATTGGCCCTTAATGGGATAAAATTTCCTCCGTAATTTGTCAGATAATTGGAATTTTAATCCCTAAAAACATAATAAACACGACAAAAAAGTGAAATGGAAAGGTGGCGTAATTTTTTATATTGGAATATTTACATACATACCACTCAATTGTTATGCATTACATATCTAATATACCTAAACTTTAATATATATATATTTTTTCCGTTCATAAGACTCACATCACATAAAAAATATCATAATCATTAACTTAAAATGTGAAACACACATTTTCAAAAATAAGTGAAATGTATGCAAGTGCATTTGAATAATTGGTCGTCATGGGTCCATCAGAGAGGGTAAATGAGTCCTCCTAACCCATTCTATAACTATTGGATCTCTAAAATATTGCACGATGTATTTTCAATTGCTAGGCGCGGCCCATACATACTCATGCCCAGAGGGCTCGCTTAGATTAGCAGACAAATTGACTTGTCGGGCTGTCTTGTCAAATTGACATATCAGATTAATGTCATATTGACCGACCATGCAGCTTCAAATGTTAATATGAGAGTGTGTCACAAATCATTCCACTTAGTTCACCTAGTTGGTTGTCCTTAGGATTGCCAAACAATCAAATCATGATCATTTATAAGTCGTCTGATATCCATTTCGTTATCTATTTCACAAATCATTCCACTTAGTTCACCTAGCTGGTTGTCCTTAGGGTTGTCAAACAATCAAATCATGATCAGTTATAAGTCGTCTGATATCCATTTCGTTATCTATTTATAAGGACACCTACGCAGCTCATAATTTGATTTTCTTCCTCTCTATGTATGCATCTTTCTAGGATCATCTCTTTTATTCTTCAAGAACAGGCTCATAAGAGGAACTTAGTTCAAGCCTAGAGAATACGTTCACTCTATTCTTCTACACCTTTATAAAGGTATCTTCGAATTATATAAATTCACTACAGCACGAGATCCTACCTCTTTAAAAAATTCAATAGCAAAAATTAAAATTTAAGTGTCAGACATATAAACAAATAAATAAAGTATCCGATATGCAAATATATAGGATTTGCTGAAATATGTCAGTCTTTGTAGTTTTAAGTTGGATAAATTTGACCCTATAGTAGGAGATGGGAAATCTAGAAATAGTTACTTTAAGAAATATAATCCTCACTTTTTACCTCCATTAAAAGAGTTAAAATAATGATATTTTTTATGTGTATATAAACATGAAAGTTTAGGCATTACTTATACAAATGCTTAATAAGATTGTGCTGCACCTAAAATTAAAATAAATTTGCACAGGATATCTCACAAAGAAGACATCCTAATCCAGAAATAACTAAAAAAAAAAAAAAATCAGAACAACTGTAATGTAACTTGTTGTTTTCAACAGTATCAGAGTGAAACAACTTCAAGCTCGAAATATCAGCCTCTCCCGTTATATGTTGCAGGTTTTATGAAACTAATCCCAACTAAAAATAACTGTTCCAAATCTTTCTATACAGCAAAGTTGTTAAAATTATGCAAATCAGTAAGTAAAACTTCTCTAATTATTTATCACCTTCACCTTCACCTTCACCTTCAAGTTCACGCAGAAATCGCATCACCAATCAATCCCATCCAGCAGTTCTCCCAACATATCCTGATCGAAATCTCCAATATTCAAGTTGTCAAAAGCTTCCTGCTTTATATTACAGTTGTTGCTGCTGGCACAGAAACTATTATTCATGGCGGCTGGTTTAGAAGCATCGTTGTTGCAGGCTGCCATTGATCTCTTCATATCTCCACCTGACTCATTCTGCACCGGAGCCGAGACCTCGGGTTTAACCAAGCCTTTCACGGGGGGTAAGGCTCCCTTGTTCATCATCTCCGGCAGGTGGTGCTGAGGGTTTTGAGTAGCCTGTGAAGGGGGCTCGAAATTACACGCAGGGGGTGGTTTTCCGTGTAAATCTTGCTGCTGCTGATGGCTCTTGGCCGAAGAATATTGAAATGATCGGCCGGCAGAAATTAGAGGACCATTCGTCTGAAAGGGTACCGGTTGGGTCTGGTTGTGGTTGAGTCCGGAAAATGAGGAGTGATCGGAGTTTCGTAACAAGTGCTGGTAATTGTTTGTTGTCGGCCCGATAGCAGCTGGAGATGACGAATTGTTCGGAAAGGAGGCAGATGAGAGGCTGTTTCCGGGAAGCCGGCTGAGGCCGGGATGCATGGCCATAAACTTATTCAGCATGTTCGGGTCAGCAAGCAGGTTTTGGGAAGAATCAGTCTGCTCCACCTTCATTTTCTGGGCTTGGAGCTTAGCTGCAGCTTGCTGGGTATAGTTCTTCAGACTGTCTGTAATTTGGATGACAGAAACAAAGAAGTTAAATTCTTTATTTATTGACGATGGAGAATCACCGAAGCTACCAAAAATTAATCAAAATTTTTAAAAATTCCAAATAAATTTTGAAAACGAGGGGTGATTATTGATAAATGTGTTCCGAAATGCATCATTAATGGAGTTATAAAAGCGACATATGTAAATACCATACCTATAGGCCCCATCTTGTGTGACTGGCTGAAGTCGATCAATTCTTTCATACAGTTAACAACTTCAGATATCTGTCAATTGATAGAAGGATAGCTTGAAATCATGCATGAAAATATTTTAAATTAAGTAATAGCCCGCACTCAATTCGTACGAATTTACACATCTAACATCTAAATTTTACTTTTTTTTATATTTATACTAAAAAAATCTATGACATCGCATCAACAATATCAGCATTTTAACGCTTGAAAAGTTAAATACACCTTTTACATGCATAGGTAAGGTGGAATGTATGTAAAATTTGAAGGTTTGGATGTAAGATATGTAAATAAATATGAATTGAGTGGTATGTATGTAAATCTTCTACAAAAATAATATAGTTATAGCTTCATTGTAATGGCAAGAGTTTAAGCTGCATTTGACTCCTAGGACAATGAATTCTTTACCAAATAGAATAACAATCTATTTGCATTATATACAATGAAAAATACCTGCAAGCATCGAACATATCTTTTTGGAAAACCCAGATCATTTAGTAATTGCAGCTCCACATTTCTTGCCAGTTGACGCCCTGCCGAAACAAACCTGAAGAAAAGAAATGCAAACCATTGAATCTGACTAAGGATTTGAATAAAAATTAAAGTATATTTCGTAAAACTTACATGCAAAAAAAAAACATAGAAAATGTAATTATTAAGGTAAAACATATTTACTTTCATCTATACTACTTCAAAACTAATAAAGTCTCGAAGCCTTCATCAGACTCCTAAACCTTTTATAACAAATTTCTGCCAATAATAAAACTACAAGCAAAGAAGAGACATTTCCCATTCATATACCAAAATTTTACTCGGTTGTACTAAAACATACTAACACTTCTAAATAGCTATCTACCAGAACAATAGAAAATCAACAAAAATTACAAAAAAAAATCGGAGGAAAAATAAATTAAAAAAAAATGTATTGATGCACCTGTTAAGAGCAAAAATCAGAGGAAAAATAAATTAAAAAAAAAATGTATTGATGCACCTGTTAAGAGCAAACACAAAACCCATAAATGAAGAATGTGATGCACAAGGTTATTAAACAAAAAAGGAAACAATATACAAAGGAGCTATGTACACACATCTCATAAACAAATTTAACGAATAAAAAGAAACAAATAACGGACAAATTCTGTAAGCCAATCTAAGTTGTTTCATTAAATTAAAAGCACTATCTATCAGATCTATACTTTTCCTTGTAAGATGAAATAAAGTGCAAAATATTGAGAGTACACATCACATCTAAAGAATACTAATCTTGTATACGATAATACCGCTACCGAAGCCATTATTCAGACAAAAAAATGACATCAAGATTTAAGGACAGCGCACATAAAAAATTAAACTGCGTTTATCAATTACTTCATCAAGAAATAGAATGCATGAATTCACTAGAAGAATAACATGCAAATTTAAAAAAAGAGGGAGAAAGAATGAACAAAGGAAGAACAAGGTTGAGGACTCATAAAGGATCTATGCAGCCCATCAAAGGATCTATGCAACCCAAACAGAAGTTGATATGAAATACAATCATGGAATTTTTTTTATCACTGGGGAGAAGGATATGGTTACAAGTAAAGGGAAACTTAAAAATTTAAAAATTGAATAAAAATAAGATTTAAAATTTATCAAGGAATATCTTGAAGAAGCATATTTTTTGCTGACTAACTCACATATTGCAGCTGGCTTGCAGATCTTGAGCAGAAACTGTAGAAGACCCTTTTTCAGTAACAGCAGTTTGATATTTGTGTGCAGCATGTAACAACTGGTTCACCTGTAGCAAAAAAAAAAAAATAATATAAGACCCACTAAATTCAGTAAATCAGAAACCATTCCAAAGGACACATTGGTAATCTGAAAAGTGACTATTTAATAATGGTGCAAAAAAAAAGGTTAAAATGAACGTAGTGCATATAAAACAAGAGCAACATGCATGATGTGTAATGATAAACAATCACCACATGGAACATAAAGCTACTAAGAAAGAACGGAATGGAAAAAATTAGTTTTCAAACTTGATATCTTCCAAGAAATTTACACAATATCTTCCAAGAAATTTCAATAAAGTAGTTGTCTCAAGTACCTAGCGTTAGTTTAATGATTTTGTTACTTCTTGGAGTGATAAACAACACTGGCCTTTGCATATAGAAAGCCAGGGGAATTGTTTCCGTTAACTCATTCATGGTATTGGGCAGATCCGATGATTTCATTCAAGGGAAATTTACATACCTAGCACACAAATCTTATGTATTTACATATCTCATATTTACATACATAATATTTTGGTGCTTTAAACCTATGCATGAAAAGGTGTATTTCACTTTTAAAAAGCAATAATAATGCTATTTTTTATGTGATATTAAAGGTTTGACTGATATGTATGAAAATATGAAAGTTTAGGTGTATGATATGTAAATATATTAGAATTGTGTGATATGTATGTAAATTCTAGCTTCCTACATGGACCCTTGATTCATTCTACCAGATTAAATCATAGTGATTTCCACTAAAAAGTATAAGTTTAACGAAATAGGTACGACCAACTAGCGGCCAAAAGAATTGCTACCATAGGGACACAAAATAACAAATTTAACTAGTAATACAGGAGAAAAATGCAATACATCCCATTATTTTTCCAAATATAGGGAAGAAAGTATATAAAGGACCATGAAGCCATACCAGGAAATATAACTGTTTAACTTGTAAAAAGTTTCAAAAGATAATTGAAGGTAAAATTTGCATTTACAAATAAGCATTTTGCTATACCTGATTAACAATAATTCTACGAGGGAGAAGTTCTTCATGACTGCGAGCACAGAATTCCCAACACAAAATCTGAAACAGAAAAGAACTTAATTATTTACATGAGTAAGGCTGGATTGCTCTAAACATAGTGTCGACATGTAAAACTGCTAATAATCAAGCAAAAAAAAAATACGCATATCAAACAAAAATGCATATCAAACACCTTCAAATCTGGAGTGAATATAATACGCATATCAAACACCTTCAAATCTGGAGTGAATATAATCCGAAGCTGCCCCTCCCGCACAACGCGGCATTGCTCGTGGACACTCTCTTGAACAGCTTTTGCATACTCTAAAACCATCATTCCTGATCGAAGCTTGCTTTCGTGGGGAGCGTCCACATACAAAAGTTCATCCAAAACTCCATGATCAAATTTTATTTGGTCCAGCCGAGGAAGCACATCATAGGTGGCCTCTGTAATAATTCATAGTAATTAAAAGGGATAGAAAGCATGGCGCAGTTGAGGGAATTCAATTCTTCGAAATACTGATAATCTAAGGAATTAGATGCCAGTTAAAGAAAAACAAAATGAATCTAAGTTAATGATACATCATAATAAATAGTAAATGAAGATGCAAAGTGCAAAAAAGAAATTATATTATACAACTCCGTGCTAATGCTGGGAAATTTATAATTTTACAGAAGTTGCTTTACATGGCAGGTTTAACTTCTGAATTTTGGATAAGATCAGAAAGGAGACATGATGGTAATATGGAATCAGATTGAGCTGATTTTGTACCTACCATATCTATTAATTTAGAAATATTGAGTTTTTAAATAGATGTTACGAACCATATAAATAAACAATTTTGACAAAATAAATTTTCTTCTTCCAGTTTACAATCTCACGTGGCAAGTTGGATAAGAGCAAGTCTTTCAATATTGGTAAAAATGTCATTACCTGATTGCAAGTTGACTTATTGTATTGAAGCGAGGCTTAGATTTCTCAATTCAGCGACTTATTTCTAGGATCTACTTTTTCTGCAATACTTATAATTAGCTTACAATTGCTTTTGATTTGTTCAAACATGACACGATTGGGAATTTAGTTATGTTAATTAAATATTAACTGCAAGCTGACTTAGCATGGTTTGAATTTCTCATCATTTTTTTTAGATTTATCTGATCATTATATTATCATCTAGTTTTTACTTCTCGTGTTTATTGTTTGCAATTAAGGAAATCAATTTACTCGCTCATTCATAATTTATGAAATAAAACTAATAGTTACCCTTGCATGACTCTCATACATCGCATTAAGTTGTGTATTGAAAAAGCTTAATCCTAAACCTTCGTACGTAATATTAGTATCAAAGTTTTAGGATGCACCAAATTGTCATCGAAAGTGAAGTTAGTTAGTAAGGTAATTAAATAGAACATTTAAAAATCAATTGGTTGATTTATTGAATAAATAAAATAATTTGAGTGATGAGATTAATATGGTTAACATGCAAATTGACACTTGAAAGCTGAAAAACTTCATGAAGCCTAAAGTAGATTCCAATCACAACTAAGAGCCCCTTTAATTAAATGTTAACATTGGTAGGATACAAGGAAATCAACGTGACCAAAAGTTTAAGGTGTTTAACAATGATGTTTATGGAAATCATATATGTAAAAATTTTAATGTAGAAAATGAGGTTGACATATTGCCTAATTTTTCTCATTATAGGAAGTATCTAATAGAGCACATTGAACTTAAAAGACAAGTTAGTGAATTATTTCAAAAAGGAATTTCAGATAGAGCATAATTCTTGCATCATAACTTCTTTGCATAAACCTAAGAGAGATGGGAGTCCGAATTTTTGCATATAAAAAAGTGCCATCAACAAAATCATGATTAAATTTAAGTTTATTATGCCTCATTTGGATTATATGCTAACTTATGATGAAGGATTTTGTGATATTTTCTAGGATAAATTTTAAGAAGTAGTCATTACCAAAAATTAAAATAAGGAAAGTTGATGAACAAAAAAATAATATAGTCATCACCAAAAGTTAAAATAAGGAAAGTTGATGAACAAAAAAATAATAATAACCAAGGATGAATTGTATGATGGTTTGTGATGTAGTTTAGATCACCTAATGCATCCAGTCCTTTTATGAGGATAATGAATAATGTCTTGCAGTCTTTTATTAAAAATTTTATTGCTTATTAAATGAGACTTTAATTAATAGCAAGACACAAGATGATCATTTAGTGCATCTTAGAAGAGTATTTTGTACTTTACAAGCTGAGAAATTATATCTTAATTAAAAAAAAAATTGTTCTACAACTCCAGTTACAATCTTAGAGCTATTTGTGTTTGAAGATAGGCTATGTTAAAGTCAAAATATATAATAATTGGCCAAAATCTATTAATAAACAGGATATTCATAATGCATATAGCTCATTAAAGGATACAGTGTTGTCATGACACCGATTACTAATTATCTGAAGAAATAGGAATTTAGATGCACTAAATCTGTTAACCGGGCTTTAGATGAGATTAATGAGAAACTTGAAACTGTATCATGCTTACATTGACTGTATTTGAGGTTTCTTATAATGCATTTGGTGTTGTTCCTAGAGGAGTATTTAAGTCAAGAATGGCCTCTAATTTTTTCCTAGTGAGAAATTGAATGAAACTAACGAAATCAATTAAACTATGATGAGGAATTCTATGTCGTTATGTAATTCAGTAAATATGGGAGGCATTATTTGTTGCCGGTATATTTTGAATTATGCAATGATCATCAAGATTTGACAAGTTTGAATTCCCAAAAAAAATTGGGACAAACATGCTAAATGGGTTAAGTTTTTACGAGAATATTCTTTTATAATTAGTGGTGCTAAAACTAAAAAAAAAATAGATGTTTTAAGTGGAGTTGTTGCCATCCTACATAATGCAGGTTAAGATGATAACTTTTTATCATATAAAGATAAGCATGTCATTTGTAGGTTTTTGAAAGGATTTATCAAAAATTGAAAATAATTCTTCTTTATTTAACAAAGACTACATTTATCAATGACATATAAATCAAGCGAGGGCATTAGTATCAATGGCATTTGTATGTTTTTGAAAAGTTATACCAAAAATTTAAAATATTTCATCTTTGTTTAACAAAAACCACATTTATCAATGGCATATAAATCAAGCAAGGGCGTTAGTATCAATTTTGTGTAGAGTTTACCACAAAAATTGAAAATACATTCATTTATATTTTTTAGTAGTAGACCTTTTCTTAAAAATACTCACTTCATAACATGTCCTAAAATTGCTAATGCATCTCATTTTGCTAAACATATTTTAAAAAAGTGATTAAATTGCATGACTTACTTCAAATATTTGCTATTGATCTTGAGTAAAATTTATAAGTTAATTCTGAAAATTCCTTCAGAAAGAAAATAAAACACAACCTAAATTTCAAATGGTAATCACCTTCAAACTGATGGCAAATTGAAATAGTAAATAAAAAGCAAGTAGCACTATGAATGAATGGATAGGATCAATTTTGTTGCATGCAAAATTGATAATTATCATTAGATATTGTTGAAAGATCAAGATGACTCGTGGGTTTATAATTTAATATCTTAACCCTATTATATAAATGAGTAGAATGTTAATAGGTATATTATAATAAAGTTAAAGTTGCATTGTTAAAGTGGAGAAATACTTAAAAGTACTAATAAAAATATTATGGCGGTTTAAAATAAATTTTATAAAATTGCAAATAGACTAAATATTTTATATGAATCTAATTATTAAAAGTAAGTTGAGTGTGGAAAAATAGGAAAGTTTTGATGAATATATGGCAAAACAAAAAATTGTAGAGTGCACAGTAATTATGTTAAGAGAGACGATACACCTATTCAATGTTCAGTAGTTAAAATAATTGTAGGTCTTCTTGTGTGTGCAAAACAAACAAAGGAGAGTAGAAGATGCACTAATAATATCAAACAATTAAGAAGTCGAATGGGGAAAAAAAAAACTAGGAATTGATAAAAAAAAATGGATAAATGTCATGCTCCAAATATTAGAATTTAAAACACGTCATCTCTTGAAAAGTTAATAAAAATAATTCCTAAGCAAAATATATGGCACACTCTTTAATTTAACAGTTCTGCCTAAGTGAAAACCTAATGATTTTTTTGTGCTGACATTTTTCGGAAGTGTAAAACTCCAAAAAAAATATTACTCAAAATAGAAATAATTCTAAATCCAGAACTTTAGAAATGATTCTAAAAAATAGGAAAGTTTTTTGTGCTGACATTGTTTAAGCACGAATGAATATGATTCTAAAAAATAGGAAAGTTTTTTGTGCTGACATTGTTTAAGCACGAATGAATACAGCATGATTCATAAAGATGACCCAAATAAATTTCGAGAGAAGACAGACAATGATGATGAAGCATGTCACTTTAGATATAATATGTAGTGTAAAAGGTTGAACATTGTAACAGATAAGTTATGTCTTATCTAAGTGAAAGTAGTGATGAAATGTGCAACTGACAATACCTCTAGAGGAAATGGTGATCAATAATTTCAAAAAATATATATAGTGATTAAATTTACTTATGTTTTTAATGCATTATGTGCTGCATTAAATATATAAATTTATTTAAATTGATTTTAGTTTTTAATGCATTAAGTGTAGGCCTTATTGATGGTATAAATATAATGATAAAGTTGGAGAAAGAGATAGACTATGGAATAGTATTCTCAAGGAAAACTTTCAATATTGTGAGTGTCAATGAAGGTCCTTAAGTAGACGGTAGATTTTAATCCCCAAGCGGAACTGCCTATAGTACCTATCTGGATCAAATTCCCCGGTTTGAAGTTGCACTACTTTAACAAAGAAGTCTTATGCTCCTTGGGGCTATTTTATGGAAAACCAATGAAAGTGGACATGGAAGCTTTTCTAGGTCATCCTTGGCTAGAGTCATGATGGAGAGAGACATCACCCTCCCCTTCCCAAATTCGGTTTGGATTGGATCTCCTAACTCAGGCTACTGGCAAACAGCTGAAACACAATATCTTCCTCATTACTGTTCAAAATGTAGGATGTTTGGCCATATAATTGTTCACTATTATGTAGCTCATCCAGAGCTTAAGAAGGATAAGAGATGTGGCAAAGAAGTTTCGGTAGACCCCTAACCTGTTGCTGATACAAACAAGGAATTGGCAATGAGGATGTAATGGAATTGAATGCTGACAAACTGAAGGAAACTAATATGGAAGTTAGGAGTCCTTCATCAGTGGAGATATTATTGGCACAACCTGAAAATTATAATGACCAACCCAAGTGGCAAAGAAGTTTTGGTAGACCCCTAACCTGTTGCTGACGCAAACAAGGAATTGGCAATGAGGATGTAATAGAATTGAATGCTGACAAACTGAAGGAAACTAATATGGAAATTAGGAGTCCATCTGTGGAGATATTATTGGCACAACCTGAAAATTATAA